CCCTCAGCCTCCCAAAGGCGCGGGATTACAGGCTGAGCCACCGAGCCCGGCTTGATTTTTTTTTTTTTATTGTAGAGATGAGGTCTCGTCAAGTTGTCCAGTCTGGTCTTGAACCCGTGGGCTCAGGCAATCCTCTCACCTTGGCCTCCCAAAGTGTGGGGATTATAGGCGTGAGCCACTGCACCTGGGCTGCACAGACATTTAAAAAGATCTATTTTTGACAACTGTATTTAGAAACAACCCTTTTTATTTTTTTTGAGTTGGAGTCTCACTCTGTCACCTAGACTGGAGTGCAGTGGCTGCTCCTGGCCACCACAGCCTTGACCTGCCGGGCTCTGGCGATCCTTCCACCTCAGCCTTCCAAGTAGCTGGAACTACACGCATGCGCTACCACGCCCGGCTAATTTTGATTTATTGTAGAGATGAGGTCTCACCAAGTTGCCCAGGTGGGTCTCAAACCCGCGGTCTCAGGCAATCTACTCACCTCAGCCTCCCAAAGGCGTGGGATTACAGGCTGAGCCACCGAGCCAGGCGAAACTACCCTTTTTAGATGTCCTCCGCATAAGGAAGCTATTTTGTAATTGCAGTGGAAATGATCTAGATTAAGATTGAAACTTGGGAAGCAGATGAGACTTCTGTAGAAGTTACTTTTTTTTTTCTTTTTGAGAAAAAAGTCTCACTCTGTCATCCAGGCTGGAGTGCAGTGGCATTCTCATGGCCAGTGCAGCCTCATTCTGCTGGGCTCAGGGCATCCTTCCACTTCAGCCTTATAAGTAGCTGGAACTACATGTGCGCCACCATGCCTGAGTAATTTTTCTTGACTTATTGTAGAGACGAGGTTTCACCATTTGCCCAGGCTAGTCTTGAACCCCTAGACTCAGGTAGCCCTCTCACTTCTGCCTCCCAAAGTGCTGGGATTGCTGGTTAATCAGTTGTATTCTAATTAGCATGTAATTTGTTCTTTGGAATGTGCTTTTCCATAGAAAACTGTGACAGTAGTGTTGTTTTTTTTAGAAAACTCATAAAAGCCTACTTGACCCATAAAATTAGTTCTTTTTTTTTGAGTTGGAGTCTCACTTTGTTACCCAGTCTAGAGTACAGTGGCATGCTCACGGCCACCTAGCGTCAACCTGCTGGGCCCTGGCGAACCTTCTGCTTCAGCCTTCCAAGTAGCTGGCACTACAGGCGCTTGCTACTATACCTGGCTAATTTTTTTTTTTTTTTTTTTTTTTGAGTTGGAGTCTCACTCTGTCACCCAGACTGGAGTGCAGTGGCCGCTCCCGGCCACCGCAGCCTCGCCTGCTGGGCTCCGGCGATCCTTCTGCCTCAGCCTTCCGAGTAGCCGGAATTACAGGCATGTGCTACCACGCCCGGCTGATTTTTTTATTTATTGTAGAGATGAGGTCTTGCTGCCCAGGCGGGTCTCGAACCCGCGGGCTCAGGCAATCCACCCACCTCAGCCTCCCAAAGGCGTGGGATTACAGGCTGAGCCACCGAGCCCGGCTAATTTTTTTATTTATTGTAGAGATGAGGTCTCACG